ATTCTGAATCAGCAGAAGCAGCTTGCTGTTCTCAGCATCTTCCTCACCTTTTTGTCCCCGGAAGATACAATCTAGGTCTCCTGCACAGCAAGACAGTCACAAAGAACAAGCAACTGCCTGTGAGAACAGGCAAAAGGAAGAGGTAATAGAAAGTGCATTCAAGGGAACCGGACCTGTTATTTTTAAAGGCAGCAGATTTTGCACACACACACAAAAGGTTTCTATGATGATTTAGACTTTTTGACTGTGAATGACTTTCTGTAATTGTTCCAATGCATTTCCTTTTTTGTCATTAAAATCAATTCCACACGGAACTCTACTCTTCTTCCCTAAGAGTTCATAGGGCTACTCTTATGTGCTCAGTGTTGAAAAACAGGCAGAACTTCTTGCAGCAGGCTCCCTCTCAAGGTAGGAGCAGGGAATTTCATCCCCTCTTTACAATCCCCTGTACAGCAGAATGAGAAGTGAAATAAACTGGATTTTGGCTGCAGCAGCCATGTGTAGCTATCAGCTTATATTGCAACTTGTCTAACTCAGAAGGGTCCTTTGTAGACACAGTGCAAGCAGCCACTCTCTATATCACAGAAGAATTTCAGTTTAGTACAAAACTTTATTAATATCAATACTGCAAAACTAAAAAAGTGAACATAGAATCTGAGCAGGTTTGGAGCCTGGTCCCATCCATCAACCTCTGGGACAGCAACAAAGCCCCAGACAGCTTTGTAAACAAACTAGAAAAAGCAAAACTTTTAAGTTTAACGGCAGTCTTGAGATTTGGCTCTGAGAAAGGATGTTTGGAAGAAACTCATGTTTGTTTTAAAAACACTCCTATACAACGTTCTGAAGCACATAGGCATAGATGAAAACATTACCTAAGGTGCGCCAAGAAAGAGTAGAGCTCTGAAAGTAAAAACTACAGAATCAGTAGGATCCCAGCTCAACACTGCCCTTGCATCCCATGAGGCAGATCAAGAGCTCTGGCATCATATTGGTCTTCATGGTCTAGTTAAATAGCTGCAAGCACAGAATAGGCTAAGTCTGAGGTTTTGACAGATGCACAGTCTGCAAAGAGCTTGCACATGGAAGAGGTTGGTGTTCCCTAGGTCACCCAAGCTACACATCACCTCCCCCCTGTGAACGTTCTGCCTTTTCAGGACATGGCCCCGGTTAGCAAAGGCTTTCTCAGCTCCGCTTGACTAAAATGGGCTGGGGATCCTGCTGTGAGCTGCTCCACAGCACACTGCTGGAGATGGTAACCTCCGACAGAGTGATGACAAGCAGATGTGGTAGGCTGGAAGCATTAACCTCAGCAGGGTCTGATAACATCTCTCCATGGCCTAAAGTTTCCCTAGTGCCTCCTAAATGGGTGGTAACCCTGCCTGGAGGAGGAACTGAGTGCCAACATAACTCACTGGAAGGGGAAGCAAAGGGAATCAAGGAAGCAAGATCAGATCCACAGAGGAAGGACAAAGTAGAAGGTTAATGCCCTGCAGGGCTTATGCTGCCCTTTGGTAGGGCTGAATTTGTCCTCTGTGATCCAGAAAGGATCAAAATACTAAATCAGTTCTATAGATCCTTCCCTTTTTGCTTCCTTCCCTGTGATTTGGAGTCTTTGTTCTTTGTTTTTGCCTCCTCAACTTCCCAAGACAGTAACTTAGTTTTGACTTTGCTTGTCCCAGGGTTTGCCTGCCTTTGCCCTCCACGTCTGGACAAACTCCGGTTTCCAATCCCCTGTTCTGTCATGGCTTTCAAAAGATGTTCTTGCTTCTTGGCCACCATCTCCTCCCGGCTCCAGATCAGAATATTAAAGCCTGAGAGGAAAAATTAAACACCCTGCTTCAGAAATTCCATGTCAAGTATAATACCATAGATATAATGTAGAATTGCTGTCTATGTCAGTTAAGTGCCAGAAATTCAGAATGCTTAGTCTATTCTAAGCTATTTCCTAGGCACAGAGAAAGGGAAGTTATTTAGTGCAGACACCATCTCCACATGGCCATAGAAATTTGACATAATTAAGAAACATAATTGAGTAATTCCTGATCTCATATCTGTCATAGGTATGAGGCCCAAATCTAAAGCCAGCTCCCTTAGTCCCAGACAGCCTAGGAAAGCTTGAGTAATCTTGGCTGTGAAGCCTGGGAAATGAGGCAAGTAAACAGAAGGGAGAGGGCTGCAGTCTAGCCGGAAAAAAGTCTTTTTTTCTGTCCTGTTTCTCCCACTGTTACGTGGCCAGCAGATGGCAGCAGCTACCTGCTCAGAGGAGGCTGATTTTTCTCTCTGGACTTCATGCTCTCAAGGATGTTTCAAAGGACGTGACTAGCAACCTGTCTTGTAACTGCAAAGGTGGGAGATTGAAAAGGTCTTGATCTCTTTTACAGATGCATGAAGCTAGAGACTGCCACTGGCAGAACCATTAGTGGGATTTGGGAACCCCTCACTCACAGCTTGCTTTAGTCTGGAGGAACAGGCCCGCCCTTTTCTGGGACTGGAACACACTAGTACTTAGTACCTCAGGTTCTCTTTACTTACCCATGCCAGAAGCCAGTGTGTCTCCCATAGGGTTGAATTTATTGAGCTGCAAATGGAAACATAATGACAGTCTGTAAGGGCATCACTGGTTATATAACAGAGTCATAAGAGCATCACTGCTGATATAACAGCAACAAACAATCTGGAAACCAGAACATTCCCTAAAGAATACCACAAAAAACCCACAGATGACCAGGGAACAGCCCTGCTCAAGTCAGCAGCTTTAGCTGGCAGCCACAGCCCCATGAGAGCGTGAGCCTGTCACAAGTAAGGAGGACATTTCTATTATTTCAGTCCCTAAAACATCTCTCTCAGCTGCAGGTCAATACACAACAGTCCCTTTAGCTGCAGCGCCCAACTCACCGAGATTATACCAGATGCATTCGGGTCATGGAGCTGACACACCATCTCTCCGGTGTTTCCATCAAATATATCCACAGTCCGCAGTTCATTCACTGTATACCCTGGGAACTTAGGGTCTGGGTAGCGACCTGCTACAATGAGGTCATAGCGAGGGTGCCACGTAGCCTAGTCGTAGAGCAGAGTGATGGAAAGTTAGAGACAGGGACAGAGCTCACGCTGATGCACGCCAGAAACTAAGAGCTGGCAGCATGAACTGCAGTAGTTTCTATATTCCACTCAGAGCCTGAGTAACGTGAGCGTCATCAGACTAGTGCTCTGCTGGGAATGCAGCAGTGTTAACATCGACCCACCGCCAACCTATCCTGACTGGAAATCAGACCATTTCTTCTACAACTTGCTGCTAGCACCAAGTTTGATACCTCTTCTCAGGCTGTACTAGCTTAACTTACCTTGATAGGTGTGAGGTGCTGGAACTGCCGATGCGGATGTGGGATCAGATGCTGTGGCTTGGTCCAGTCTGAAGATGAGTAAACCCTGATTTCACTGCGCTGGTCTGTGGTCAGGAGCTTGGCACCATCTGTTGGGCTAAAGTAAGCTAGGAAAGGGGGACAATAAAGCAAACAAAAGATCACAGTGCTGTGATTAACAAGAAACATAAAAGCCTGGCTGGTTACCCATTAATACATCTTTGATAGGGCTCTGAATACGGCCATGTGTGCCAACAGACAAGTCTTTACCCCTCTCATCCAATAACTCAAACCTCTTGTGAAGAGTAAATTGAAACCTACAGCGCTCCAGTAGATAGAAAGAA